CCCCGCCGCGCAGCTCTGCTCGAGCTTCTCTCCTGCCCTCGGCCCCCGGCCCCAGCTCCGGCTTGGCTCCCACCCCCGGCCCTTGGATCCACTCCTGGCCCCAGCCATGACTCCACGCCTGCCCCAGTCCTGATTCAGGCCTCATCTCTGGACCCCGGCCTCAGCCCAGCTCCTGCCCCAGCTCCACCTGCCCTCATTCCTTGTCCACGCTCATCCCCAGTTCTACCCCCAGCTCCGCCTTCAGCCCAAACTCCCCTGCTGAGCCAACAGTGCAGGAATGGAGGAGGGAGGGGACACAGACAGATTCCATTACTGGTAAGGGCGGGCGTGACAGGAAAAGTTGGGGCCCCAAAAGTGCACACACAGCCCACGGGTCTGGGACCCCTTCCCCAGCCTCATACCTGCACACAGCCCACAGGTACCCCTCCCCCCACTCCCATTCTCCTCTCTGATTATCAGGGAGGACCCAAAATCCCCTCAGATTTTGCCCTTTCCTTCATTATTGAATTCTCTCAGATTTTGTCATTTCCCCCTGTATTTCTGAAATATTGATCTAAAACCCACCTCGGATCTGAGGGGATTCCCCCTCCCCGCTTTTTTAACTGCGCCAACTTCTTGTTTTGGAGGGAAATTATTGCCCTGAGTCATTCCCCGGATGGGATGGAGAAGAGGAGAGTGCAGGGGACACGGGTGGGACTGAGGAGTGAGCACGGAGATGCGGCTGCCTCTGGGGTGGGACATAGGGCTAGATCCACAAAGAGGACTCAGGGTACATCTTCACTGCAATCAAAAACCCCACCACAGCCAGTCTCAGAGCCCAGAACGACTGGCCCAGACTGGCAGGGCTCATTGCTACAGGGCTGAGCACAGGAATGTAGATGTTGGAAAATAAAGGCTCTACAGAGGTGCCGACTTTCTAATTTCCCAATAATAATAATGGTGGATTTCAATTATCCCCATATTGACTGGGTACATGACACCTCAGGATGGGATGCAGAGATAAAGTTTCTTGACACCTTAAATGACTGCTTCTTGGAGCAGCTGGTCCTGGAACCCACCAGAGGAGAGGCAATTCTGGATTTAGTCCGAAGTGGAGCACAGGATTTGGTCCAAGAGGTGAATATAGCTGGACCGCTTGGTAATAGTGACCATAATATAATTAAATTTAATATCCCTGTGTCTGGAAAAACACCACAGCAGCCCAACACTGGAGCATTTAATTTCAGAAAGGGGAACTGCACAAAAATGAGGAGGTTAGTTAAACGGAAATTGAAGGGTACAGTGCCAAGAGTGAAATCTCTGCAAGCTGCGTGGAAACTTTTTAAAGATACCATAATAGAGGCTTAACATAAATGTACACCCCAAATTAAAAAACGTAGTAAGAGAACCAAAAAAGAGCCACGGTGGCTAAACAACAAAGTAAAAGAAGCAGTGAGAGGCAAAAAGGAATCCTTTAAAAAGTGGAAGTTAAATCCTAGTGAGGAAAATAGAAAGCAGCATAAACACTGGCAAATGATGTGTAAAAATACAATTAGGAAGGCCAAAAAAGAATTTGAAGAACAGTTAGCCAAAGACTCAAAAAGTAATAGCAACATTTTTTAAAAGTACATCAGAAGCAGGAAGCCTGCTAAACAACCAGTGGGGCCACTGGACGATGGAGGCGCTAAAGGAGCACTCAAGGACAATGAGGCCATGAATTCTTTGCATCGGTCTTCACGGCTGAGAATGTGAGGGAGATTCCCAAACCTGAGCCATTCTTTTTAGGTGACAGATCTGAGGAACTGTCCCAGATTGAGGTATCATTAGAGGAGGTTTTGGAACAAATTGATAAATTAAACAGCAATAAGTCACCAGGACCAGATGGGATTCACCCAAGAGTTCTGAAGGAACTCAAATGTGAAATTGCAGAACTCCTAACTGTAGTCTGTAACCTATCATTTAAATCAGCTTCTGTACCAGATGACTGGAGGATAGCTAATGTAACACCAATTTTTAAAAAGGGCTCCAGAGGTGATCCCGGCAATTACAGACCTGTAAACCTGACTTCAGTACTGGGCAAACTGGTTGAAACTATAATCAAGAACAATATTATCAGACATATAGATGAACATAATTTGTTGAGGAAGAGTCAACATGGTTTTAGTAAAGGGAAATCATGCCTCTCCAATCTACTAGAATTTTTTTGAGGGAGTCAACAAGCATGTGGCCAAAGGGGATCCAGTGGATATACTGTACTTAGCTTTTCAGAAGGCCTTTGACAAGGTCCCTCACCAAGGGCTCTTACGCAAAGTAAGCTGCCACGGGATAAGGGGGAAGGTGCTCTCATGGATCGGTAACTGGTTAAAAGATAGGAAACAAAGGGTAGGTATAAATGGTCAGTTTTCAGAATGGAGAGAGGTAAATAGTGGTGTCCCCCAGGGGTCTGTTCTGGGACCAGTCCTATTCAACATATTCATAAATGATCTGGAAAAAGGGGTAAACAGTGAAGTGGCAAAATTTGCAGATGATACAAAATTACTAAAGATAGTTAAGTCCCAGGCAGACTGCGAAGAGCTACAAAAGGATCTCTCAAAACTGGTGACTGGGCAACAAAATGGCAAATATAATTTATTTATGTTGATAAATGCAAAGTAATACACATTGGGAAGCATAATCCCAACTATACATATAAAATGATGGTGTCTAAATGAGCTGGATACTGGGCTAGATGGACCCTTCGTCTGACCCAGTAGGGCCGTTCTTATGTTTTTAAGTTCCCCCTGCTCCAGCCCAGACCCTGGCCCCACTCCACCCCTTCCTCCAAGACCCCGCCCACCTCTTCCCACCCCAACTCCACCACTTCCCGTCCCCGCCTCTGAGCATGCCCCACCCTCGCTTTGCCTTTTCCTGTCCCCGTTCCTCTCCCTCCACCCCCCAGCTGCTCACCGGCAGTGGGGGGGGAGGGGACTGATCTGCAGGTGGCACCCACTATTTTTTCTTTCTGGGGTGTGGATTTTTCACACCCCTGGGTGATATAGTTATACCAAAGTAAGTAAGTAGTGTGGACCATGCATGAGATTCTACTCCCTGGATACATTCTCAGATGGTCATTAAACCTGAAAAGCCATTTGGTATTTAAAAAGTTGGCTAGCGCACAGAGCATGGCCTACCTGAGTAACCAACTCCAGTTAACTTCCTGACTGCAAGGAGAAAGTGAAATTGACAAGCACCTAGGAGATGGGCAGCCAGGAAGCTGGAAAATTTCATTTTGCTCCTGAAACTGTTTTTTGTTTGTTTGTTTGTTTGTTTTTTGGAGACCCCTTAGGTGAAAAAATTGTGGTTTTTTTACTTTTTGTCCAGATTCAGGATGAAACTATTTTCAAACCCACAAACTTTTCCACAGGAAAAGATTTTCCTGTTTCAGGCAGCTATCCCTGAGAACCAAAAGCTGCTAATGTGTGTGGGAACTGGGGAATGCATCCTTCATGGAGTCTCTGTAGTCCACTATGGTGCAAATCTGCTTGAAGCATTTTCCACTCCAATTTCAAAGGTGTCTCCCCTGTACGGATCTGCTGATGTCCCATGTGACCAGAGCCCCAGCTGAAAGTTCTACCACAGTCAAGGTTTCTTTTTTGTATGGAGTCTCTGATGTGTAATCAGGTTTGAGCTCTGATTGAAACTTTTCCCACAGTCCAGGCATTTATAGGGTCTCTCTCCAGTGTGGGTTCTGTAATGCGTAATAAGATGCGAGCTGCGACTGAAGCTTTTTCCCACAGTCCAGGCATTTGTAGGGTCTCTCTCCCGTGTGGATAATCTGGTGTGTAATAAGGTTTGAGTTGTCATTAAACCTTTTCCCGCACTCGAGGCATTTATAGGGGTTCTCGCCCGTGTGGATTCTCTGATGTGCAAGGAGCCGTGAGAGTTGAAAGAAACTTTTCCCACAGTCGGAGCATTTAAAGGGTTTATCCCCAGTGTGGAGTCTCTGATGCACAATAAGAGCTGAACTGTCACTAAACTTTTTCCCGCACTCCAGGCATATAAAGGGTTTCTCTCCTGTGTGGGTTCTCTGATGTCTAACCAGGGTTGAGCTCCGATTGAAGCTTTTCCCACAGTTGAGGCATTTATGGGGTTTAACTCCCGTGTGGATTCTC